TTTATGCTGGTCAACGATAGGTACTTGGATGGTTTGACTAAAAAGATGGTTAATTTTAGGGTGATTTTTTTACACAAATATTCTTATTTTAAGATTTTATCGAACGACATCCTCTTATTGATTTTTCTCAAATAATAATATTTAAAATTTAAAATTTTAAAATTATCTCTCTTTTATTCACCTCGTCATGACATTCACTCTATATCTATTGATACATTTTGCTTCCATAAAAGGAAGAAAGGAAGAGAAATGAAAAAAGACGGAGACATAGAAAAAGAGAGTGGAGCATAGTGAAAAGGGAAATGAGGAGGAGGAGAAGGAGGTGACCGGATAAAAAAATAGATGATGGGAGAAGAGAAGAGCAATGGAAAGGGGTGATGATAGCAGCAAGAGGGTGTACAAGAATAAAGGAGTGATCATTCAAGAAGTTTTAGATTTAAAGATACTTCTGGAAAAAAAAATTAAAAGGGATATAAGAAAAATTATCCTAAAGTTTATGATTAATAATAAATTAAATTTAAAAATAATTTTATGAATAATTATAATATAATTTAATGTGATTAATATCTAGAGCGACCTATTCTTACTCTCTCATTTCAAGTCAAGTCAACAATTTGAGAAGTCTATCAGTATCTAGAAAAATTAATCGAAGTTTCTTTTGTTCTTGGGTTGATCACTAATGTTCACAATCAGTTGTATTTATCTTTTATAGTTTAATATAATAGTCATGTTATTATAAATCTATGTGACCTCAATAAGGTTAGAACTGATTAAAAAAAAATTAAATCCCAAAATATGAAGATATCAAAAGGGACAAAAATAATTAATTATTCAAAGGAAAAGTTATGATTAGCACATTAAACTTATGACTTTCTAACAAGAGAGATTTAAATCATGATACCGACGTCAAACAAAACATGTTATCATTGTCTTACTTTGTCAAACACGAAAGAGACAAGCAAAACAACAAAAGAAAAATTCAATATTACAAAGTCATTATCTTCTTCTAATACTTTAATTGAAATGGAATATAATAGAGAGTTTAAGGGTTTTAGATGTATAGTTAAAAGTCCTTCAAAATTTGGGTCATATTTATATAAGTTTTGTGAAATTTTTTTTAATTATATACTAAAATTACATAATCAAATTAATTATTTAAGTATATGATTTATCCTAAAATCATATATTGATTAAGTATGTAAGAAATATAAAAATATAATTTTATATTTATCTCTATTATAATCTTCTATCAATAATAGTATTTTTTAGAATTTTTTATCGACTCCCTGCAAGAGCATTATCATCATCATATTCCTTAGTCCTAATTCCATTTGGTGACAACTACACTTCCTTTATCATGATATTTTTTATTAGATCAAGAATATTGCTATCATACAATGGATGCATATCAACAGAAACATCGGTACTAATACCAATAATTTAATTTATTTGGATGGATAATTTTATTTTTCCTTTGGGGTTCGAGGATCATTTTAACCTTTTCAATAAATTTTTTCTTGCTTTGAAGAAAAAAATAAAAGCCCTTTACTTCATTTGGGAGGTTCCTTTTTATACTCGAAGTTGATTGTACAAAGGATTACGATCAACAATAGGTACTTAAATGGTATGATTGAAAATAAGGTTAATTTTAGGGTGATTTGTTTACAAAAATATTCTTATTTTAAGTTTTTGTCGAACCATATCCTCCCTTTGATTTTTCTTAAATAATAATCTTTAAATTTTAAATTTTCAAAATTACCCCTCTTTTTCTCACCTCATCATATCATCCATCGTCTCTATACCTATCGATACCTTTTGCTTCCATGAAAAGGAAAAGAAATGGAGAAGGAATGAGACGATAGAAATAGAGAGTAAAGGAGAGTAAAACGGAAAATGAGGAGGGGATGGAGGTTAAGAAAAAGAATAGATGATGGGAAAAGAGAAGAGCAATGGGAAAGGATGATGACATAAACAAGAGGGGATCCAAGAATAAAGGAGTGATCATTCTAGTATTTTTTTGGATTTAAAGATACTTTTGAAAAAAAAAAAGGGTATAGGAAAAATTATCCTAAAGTTTATGATTAATAATAAATTAAATTAGAAAACCATTTTATGAATAATTATAATATATTTTAATGTGATTAATATATAGAGCTACCTATTCTTACACTCTCATTTCCAAGTCAAGTCAACAGTTTGAGAAGTCTATCAGTATCTAGAAAAATTAATCGAAGTTTAATTTGTTCTTGGGTTGATCACTAATGTTCATAATTGGTTGTATTTATCTTTTATAGTTTAATATAATAGTCATATTATTATAAATCTATGTGATCTCAATAAGATTAGAATTTATAAAAAATATTTTAGATCCCAAAGATTTCAAAAGGGACAAAAATAATCAATTATTCAAAGGAAAAGCTGTGATTTGCACATCAAACTTATAACCTTCCAACAAGAGAGATTTAAATCATGATACCGATGTCAAACAACACATGTTATCATTGCCTTACTTTGTCAAACACAAAAGCGACAAGCAAAAAAACCAAAGAAAAATCCAATATTACAAAGTCATTATCTTCTTCTAATACTTAATTTGTTATTTAAAAGGAATATGATAGAGAGTTTAAGGGTTATAGATGTATAGTTAAAAGTCCATCAAATTTGGCTCATATTTATATAAGTTTTGAGAAAATAATTTTCTTTAATCACATACATAAATTACATAATCAAATTAATCATGTAAATATATGATTTATCCTCAAATCATATATTGATTAAGATGTAAGAAATATAAAAATATTATTTTATATTTATCTCTATCGTAATCTTCTATCAATAATAATATTTTTTAGAATTTTCATCAGACTTCAAGAGCATCATCATCATCATCATATTCCTTAGTCCTAATTCCATTTGGTGACAACTACACTTCCTTTGTCATGATATTTTTTATTTGATCAAGAATATTGCTATAATATAATGGACTCACATCAATAGAAACATCAGTACTAACGCCAATAATTTAATTAATTTGGATGGATAATATTTTTCTATTTTCGTTTGGGGTTCGAGGATCATTTTAACCTTTTCAATATAGTTTTTCTTGCTTTGTAGGGAAAAAAAAAAAACCCTTTACTTCATTTGGGAGGTTCTCTTTTATGCTCAGAGTTGATTGTGCCAAAGGATTATGGTTAACAATAGGTACTTGAATGGTATGATTGAAAAGAGGGTTGATTTTAGGGTTTTTTTTTACATAAATATTCTTATTTTAAGTTTTTGTTGAACGACTTACACCCTTTAGTTTTTCTCAAATAATAATTTTTAAATTTTAAAAATTCAAAATTGCCCTGCTTTTCTTCACCTCATCATGTCATCGACTTTACACCTATCGATACCTTTTGCTTATGTGAAAAAAAAGAAAGGAAGAGGAATGGAAAAGGAAGGAGACAAATAAAAAAAGAGAGTAGAGTAGAGTGAAATAAGAAATGAGAAGAGGACGGAGGTGACGGAAAATAATAGACGATGAGGAAAAAGGGAAGATCAATGGGAAAGGGCGATGACAACAACAAGAGGGGGTACGAGAATAAAGGAGTGATCATTATAGAATTTTTTGGATTTAAAGATACTTAAAAAAAATTAAATGGGGTGTAGGAAAAAATGTCATAAAGTTTATGATTAATAATAAATTAAATTTAAAAAACTATTTTATGAAGAATAATTATAATATATTTTAATGTGATTAATATCTAAAGCTACCTATACTCGCATTTGCATGTCAAGTAACTGTTTGAGAAGTCCATTAGTATCTAGAAAAATTAATCGAAATTTCTTTTGTTTTTGGGTTGATCACTAATGTGCACAATGAGTTATATTTATCTTTTATAGTTTAATATTATAGTCATGCTATTATAAATATATGTGATCTCAATAAGATTAGAACCGATAAAAACAAAAATTTATATCCAAGATATCAAAAGGGACAAAAATAACCAATTATTTGAAGCGAAAGCTATGATTGGCACATCAAACTTATGACCTTCTAACAAGAGAGATTTAAATCATGATACTGACATCAAACAACACATGTTATCATTGTCTTACTGTGTCAAACACAAAAGAGACAAGCAAAAGAACCAAAGAAAAATCCAATATTACAAAGTAATGCATTCTCTTCTTCTAATACTTAATTTGTTATTGAAATGGAACATGATAGAGAGTTTAAGGGTTTCAGATGTATAGTTAAAAGTCTTTTTAATTTGGCTCCTATTTATATAAGTTTTTAGAAATTTTTTTTCTTAAATCTTGTACTAAAATTATACAATCAAATTCATTATTTAAATATGATTAAGGAGGTAAAAAATATAAAAATATTATTTTATATTTATCTCTATCATAATCTTCTCCCAATAATAATATTTTTTAAAATTTTTATCGACTCCAGGAGCATCGTCATTGTTATATATTCCTTAGTCCTAATTTCATTTAACAGATGGACTGACATCAATAGAAACATTGGTGCTAGTGCTAATAATTTAATTAATTTAGATGGATAATAATTTTTTTATTTTTCTTTGGGGTTCGATTATCATTTTAATATTTTCAATATAGTTTTTCTTGCTTTGAAAAAAAAGTAAAAAAGAAACCCTTTACTTCATTTGGGAGGTTCTCTTTTATGCTCAGATTGTGCCAAAGGATTATGGTCAACAATAGGTACTTGAAAATTTTAAGGTGATATAATAAGCGGTGAAGATGGATTTTGATTTACGATCATCTTTTCGAGACATAAAAAAAGAATTTTCTTGAAAATTCACATTCAGATGACATTTCATTTTAGTAAGGACTGTATGTAAAATTAAATGATAATGGTTTATAATAGGGCAGGAATTAAATTGGAAATAAATTAAATGAAAGGGGTTATAATAGAAAGCCATCGTAAATTACAAGAAATTGGCATTTATAATAATTATTAGTTTTCCTACCTGTTTGACGGCGGCGACGTCGTCTCGACCTCTGCGGCATTCGCCCGTCCGCCCCCTTTCTATAAATTTCCGAATCCCCGGGGGACAGCGGCTCGGACTCCTCGGCCGCCGGTCAACCCCACTGCCCTCGGCTGCCGCGTGACGTCCTCCCCTAGCCGCCTACCCCTCGAGTTCGTTGGCGGCCGATAGATCCCAGATCTAGGAAGAGATCGGCGAGAATACCATGTCGATGTCCGATTCCGACTCGTCCTCCCACGGCGGAGATCAGAAGACCTTCCGCCAGATCAGCCGAGACCGTACGTTCTTCGTCTTTGCCCCCTTCTTTACCGTTTGTTGTATTTGGACTCTTTTCTCCTTATTTGTGACTCTGGGAAATTGATTTCAAATGTTTCGATTTTATGGAAACAAAGGCGTAGATCGCCTCCAGTAGTAGAACGGATTAAACGGTGGAAAGCTAGGATCTCTCATAGAAACTGATGACCTTCGTCAAGTTGGTCAGAATGTGTGGACGGTCTTGCAGTGGAAGATAAATTTATGCACCTTCTTCTGGCAAAGATTTGGTGATGTTCATTACAGAGAAATTAACGCCTGTTTTCTTGTGACGATAATATAATTATACCAATTTGAGATTCTTCTGATCTCCCTAGGAAAATTAGCTAGCAAAACATTGGTGATGAGTTTGTGAACTTCTGATGGGTGTAGTTTCTGGGACAATCTGGCTGGTAGTAGACTCAATAATGTGATAGAAAACACGGGATTTGGTGAATCCCTTCCTCCAAATTGGCTTTTTGTTTGGATACTGTACAATTACCCGAAAACTGTCACTTGCTTGTATTGCTATCGGTAGCTCTTCACTTGAATGGAACGTTGCAAAAAGTGCCAAGTAGATGTACAAGAGAAAAGGAAGTGCACTTTTAATAATCAGTGCTACCGGGCAATCTTTATAGGGGATGCATTGACTAGACTTCTGACTTATATCAGTGCCTCAAACATTGTTCTTGAGCAGTTGCTTGAGGCTAAACAATCTTAGGGATAAAAGAGCATCGGGATGACTAAGGTGTTATCACCTAGACAATAATGAGTACAAACATGCTAGTGTTGTACTTACTTGCATCTGATTCATAGTTCACTATACTTATGATTCTTATAGCATAGTGTTAGATAAGGTTGATTCTATGGTTTAAAATATTGCTTATACTGGTTGGTATGGGCTGGTATCTGTCAATTTGACTGCCAATGGGGACATCGACCACGTGATTTTCCCTGCTTCTATTAGGTATGGATTCTTCTGTTTGACATGTTCATTGTGTCGGGCTTGTCGAGCATGAAAATAGACCTGCTAGTGTATTTTTTTTTTAAATAATGACAATTTTTAAAGTTGTCTTTTTCTTTCTGTTTGTTTCTCTCTCTTTTTCCCTTGTCTAACTTCCATGCACAGCCACTGCTTCCTCCTCTTTCCTGTTGCATCGCTGGGCTTCCTTCTTCCAGCTATGACACTGTTACCTATTTCCCTTTCCTCTTCCTCTACCATTTCGTCTTCCATCCTCCTCATGTTCCTCCCTCACCTTCTCGTTCTTCTCCTCCATTTTCTTGTCTTCCTTCAGTTGAACCTATACCAATCATCACGAGGGCATATAAGTAACAAGATTGAGTGGACACGATTGGTAAAACTGAGATTGACCTACCAAAGGTTGTGCATGTGACAAATAGGATTATAAACTTGTGTTTTAGTTAAATAGCAATAGGATCTGGGTCTGTTATTTAGGACAAAGATTTTATATACTAGTCTGATTGGTATATATAGTCCATATATGCCGCTTCGACCAAGTACCAATTCCAAAAAGTATAACTTGATATTTCTGTATATACAATTTATTATATATATTTTAATTGATTTAATGGTACTGGGTAATATAGGTAGGTGTACTAGTATCATATTCATACTAGTATAAATGCACTGTTTTAAATGTAAAAAGAAAGAGAAAGAGAGGTAAAGTCAAGATGATGCAGTGAAAAATGTGAAAAGAGGAAAAAGGAATCAAAGAAAGTGGAGAAAGGCCATTAGCAACTACTAATCTGATGAAAAGGCTTTTCTTTCACTGACAAAATTTTGATAAAACTCTCTAGATTTTCTGCAGCTCTTCATTATATGCTGACTTGCCCCTACTTTTACTATACACGAATTAGATCAGTTGTAAAATTATGTTTGTTTCTCTTGTATAATTCCCTTTTATGGTTGCCTTTTCATTGTCAACTGATGGGCAATGATATTAGAATATGACATGCTTTCGTAACTTCTATAGCTTACCATTTGGAAAAATTGTAACCTATATAAGTATGGTTGCATGTAAACTGTTTTCCTTGAATACTATAATAGTATAATGATCGTTGTACTATTTGCTTCTCTACTTTATTTTATAGAAAAACTGGACCTGTGTTTCTTCTGCCCACTTAGCTGATAGGCCACTGGATAAGATCAAGCATGGATTTAGGAAGACTGTGTACTTTCACAATTCTTCATTTCCAACGAGTGATAAATTCATCTCCAACTTTATTTCTTTTCTGTTTTATGGATAAACCAAAACTGTCACTTTTTTTTGGTTATTTTCATTTAATAAAGTTTATGTGGCCACAATACAATGCCTACTTCATATGTGTGCCTTCCATTTTGTATTGCTTTATTGCTTCTTATGATCATTCCTTAACTCAATTCTATTAGGGTTATTGTATGAAATGCTACGGTCAACCAAAGTAAAGGACTCAAAATCGACATGGAAGGTATTTATTGGCATGGTGTTTCCATTTCTTTCTTCTGCTTATTTATGTTTTGTACTTCATATACAGAGGCTAAAACGGTCCATGCATTTTCTGGGTATCAGAGGCTTATCTTTACCATTAGGACCTTGAAATAATTTGATGCAAACTCTTCAGCTTTTGATTCATCTTTTATATACTTGTGTATCCATGTATTCAAATATCTGTGCTTATTATGCATGCATGTTTGCTGAATTGTTAAGACTTAAGACATCTTGATTTTATACTTGTTTGGAGGGGCTGAAGCACATTGAATTCAGAATGCCCCATTTCTGACTTATCTGTTCATTACATGAAAAATTCTAGAGAGGCATCTCATCTCTTTTGCCTTTTTTCTTTTTCCTTTGTGGAGAAAATTTTGTTGTTACTTAAACCTAGGTTTTTATTAAAACTAAAGTTATTAATCGTGTCAAATACAATCCATTAATTTGATTGTGAGAGAAAAGACATCGAAAGGTTCTTTTGGTGAAAACGAAGGATTGGATAAGTTTGTCAAATTAGGCAGAATTGAAGTATGCTTGACAAAATGCCATTGATCAATCTATTAAAAAGTAATTCTATATAATATTAAAATGGTTGCAAAACGTTTAACAATTTGGTCCAATGGCAAATTTAGCATGCAGTATTAATTTGGTTGCTTCGTTTCTGGTTTCAAGTGTTAATTCTCCAGTTACTATTAGAAAATTAGAATTGCATTTTTTCATACTGTTCAAAATAAGAACTGCTGTGGCCAATAGAATATAGCGTTAATGGGGGGAAGTATTAGAAAACAGAGAAAAATTAGATAGAAGATTGATAAAAGAATGCAGATTTGGAGAAAAGAGTGGGAGAAGGATGCCTCTTTGCCAATTAGATAACCTCATATCTGTCCCAATTCGTATCAGAGAAAGGTTTTGATCCTAGACAAAAATGTGTTTTTTGTATCCCCTTCTATCTTTTCTCTACCTTATCTTGTCTTTCTCTTCTAATTTTTTTTTTTAATGGGGATGACCTTTTTAATTTTGAACTACCATAACTGCTGAATAGTGCAAATTTATGGGCAAGGCAAACAACAAGGTCCATGTCCGTTTTTGTGTTGAGGCTATTTCAAAACAATAGAAATTATGTAAGGTTTGAGATATGCTCTGATCAGTAAATTCTGAAGACGAATTTGAGAAACAATGACTCTCAAATAACATATATTAAAGTGTGGATGATCAAATTAGTTTATACGTATAAATGTACTGGTTGAGTTGTAGGTCTAAGGTTAGATCATCTTTAGTGTTTTCCTATTTGAGTTTGATTGAATTGTAATTCAGGATTATCTGAATCATTAATATATATGCTTGATTATTTGCATTTTGTGCTGGTTAGAGAAATGAGAGTTTCATGTTTTTTTAAAAGTGAATTGATTTAGGAGTCAACATAGGATAAAGTGGCTTTTTAATCAGTACTCCATTATTTCGGCAATTATAGATCTCAATCTTTCCCCATAAAACCTAGTTTCTTTTGATAAAAGGTAAAAATGTTAGATCACTCATATTTTACTAAGATATCTTAAGGATGCTTCATTTAAGAAAAAAGTTATAACAAGGATGCTTTTTGAAGTATAAAGGTTGTTTAAGGTTTTCACCAATGCAGGATCATGGGGAAGTCAAATAGACTTGGCCTTACCCATGCAAGCAGAGAGGTCCTGAAGTGGTCAATATTTACCATAAACAAATTCAATGTTAGTTTACCACTTTCAGTCGCTGACAGTGGGTCCTGCCACCTAGTTATTCTAATAGGGTTCTGCCGCCTAGTTATTCCAAGTAACATTATTTATAATACAAGTGATATTGCTCTAGAAAAAGCTACAGAAATAGTGATTTAAAAAGCGTTAGGCGCTAAAATATAAAAATATATAATATAATTAATAAATATAATTATTTAAATAAAAATATGATATTAAATTAAAAAATCTTACAGAATCACAATATCATATTAACAAAAAATCTCAAAATTTTAAAAAATAACAATAATTTTAAATAAATAAAAATTAGCAGTATTAAAATTAAAATAAAATATTATTAATCTAATAAATAAAAAAATATTGTTACTAGTATACAGTTAACAGTATACTGTTAATATACTGTTAATAGTATACTATCGAGTCAATGTGAGAAGAGGGAGTAAGAGTAATAGTAGCGGCAGCGAGAGCGGGAGCGACGATAGTGGCGAGCAGCGATAGCGGCAGCAGCGAGCAACGATAGCGGTAGCGAGGGCGCAGTGTAAGAGTAAGACTGAGGCTGCTGACTGAGAGAAGCAGCAGTGGTAGCAGCGAGCAGCGACAGTAGGAGCGGGAGCGGTGATAGTGGCAGCAGCAGCAGCGGTGGCGACGAGCAGCGACATCAACGACAAGAAGCGACAGTGGCAACGGAGAGCAGCGACAACGAAGAGAGGCAACGACAACGGCAACAGAGAGGAAATGTCAGCGGCAGAATCACGAATAGGGTTAGGGTTGGGGAAGTCGCGAGAGGGATGCTGATATCGGTGCTTTAGTTGGTTCGATTGAACCAACTAAAGCACCGGAGACCGAACCAGATGTAAAACACTGGTTCGGTCGCTTGGTTTAACCCGGGCGCTCGCCCGAAGCGCCCGACACCTAGGATCGGGCGAGCGCCTAGGCGGCGCCTCTTTGAAGTGAGGCGCTCGAGCCTCGCCTCGCCTCGCCTCGCTCGAGCGCTTAGGCGAGCGCCCGAGCGCCTATTGAAATCACTGTACAGAAAAAGCTTAATCCTCTTCCTCTTCTATCTTCCTTCGTCCTAAAATAATCTATTTCATCCCCACTCCTTTGTCTGATACTCCACTTCCACAATAATAGTTCCTAGCAAGTGGGTCCTGCCACCTAGTTATTTTAAATACTATTGTTCAAAATACCAGTGAGATTGCCCGAAAATGAAAAATGTGACAGAAGAATCTTAATCCACTTCCTCTTATATTTCCCATCCTAAAGAAATCTATTTCGTATCCATTCCTTTCTCTGAGACCACTAACATTTCAGTTTACTATGAGTTCCACCAGAGATAACCCTTGTGGCATATGTCTTGCAAGGTTGATGAACAATATGCTACCTAGAATTAGGCATAGAGAACCATGTAACTTCGTTGTCAGAATATGAGAATATGTGGTTCCACTGAACTGTCACGGCCTTAGCTGGAATTGCCTAAGGCGTGAGGCACCCTTGCGGCCAAGACGCGAACTTAGCTTGCGTTGCCTAAGTCGCGCTTCGCCCTTGCGATATTGCTCCGTAAAGATCAGCCCACTTGTAACCTCTCGCAGGTCCCGAAGGACCTGTAAAAGAGAAAGTTGATTAGTTCGAAAGAACGAGTGACGGACAAGTCCCGACATCTCGCGAAAAGAGGGGAAACTTTACAAGCAATTCAGCGAGCACCTTGCGTGCATAAGAGAAAAGAGGGAGAGGGGGAAAACAAGGGCTTTAGAAGGTTGAATGAACAGCTGCAAGCCCACAAACAGCTGCTCACCGAGTCCCGGGCACGACAACAAGTTCCCGTCAAGGCAACGTGCAAACTTGCGAATGAGTGTTCAACGCCCGGTACTATACCGAAGCCCCATCCAGCCCTGTGCCACCCGGGGGGTTCAAAGGGGTTGAGATGGCTGACGTTTTGGTGAGCGGAGGCAGATTCCAGAAATCAGCCCACGACACACGAAAACGGAGCTGTTTTGGGGCTGTTTTGCTCGGTTCGGTGAGCGGTCGCTTTGTAACGCTGCAGCTTGTTCGAACTTACATTTTTACAAGCAAAATGACTCAAAATCAAGGCAAAACAGGCTGCCAAGTAACTGTACATGTAGATGAGAGCGACAAATGGTTCGTTGAACGGAGTTGTTGCGGGTGCGCGACGACCGTTCGTGACATTCTCCCCCACTTAAACTGTCGACGCCCTCGTCGACGCTTGTTGATAGTTGTTGATGATCTCTTCTTCATGTCGTAGGGCGTCTTCAGGCTCCCAACTGGCTTCAGTTCGGGGAAGCTTTCGCCACATCACCAAGTACTCTGTCTGCTCAGCTCCGTTGGGTAGCTTTATCTTGCGGTCCGCCAGAATGGTTTCAACTCGCTTCTCGTAGGAGGCTGTCATGGGAGGTAGCCGAGTTGGAACACTTCGGGAAGCATCTTGCGGATCCGAGTGGTAGGCTTTTAAGTTGCTGGCGTGAAGAACGTTGTGAATTTTGAACCACGCCGGCAGCTGCAACTTGTAAGAGACGTTGCCTACCCTGCTGATAATTGGGAAGGGCCCTTCATACTTGCGCACCAATCCTTTGTGGACTTTGTTCTTAAAGAATTGGAGTGATGCTGGTTGGAGCTTTACCAACACCAAATCGCCAATTTTGAACTCTTGCGGTCGCCTTCCCAAGTCTGCCCACTTCTTCATCCTTTTTGCCGCCTTCTCCAAGTAAGCCCGCACAATATCTGCATTCCGATGCCACTCCTTTGCGAAATGGTAGGCTGACGGACTACTCCCAATATACCCAATGGCCATGGTGTGCGGAGTTGACGGTTGTTGTCCGGTAATGATCTCGAAGGGGCTCTTGTTGGATGCAGAGCTCCGCTGCAAGTTGTAGGAGAATTGGGCAATGTCCAACAGCTTCACCCAATCTCATTGGTTGGCACTCACGTAGTGCCGAAGATATTGCTCCAGGAGCGAGTTTATCCTTTCAGTCTGGCCATCCGTCTGGGGGTGGAGGCTTGTAGAGAAGTATAACTTTGACCCCAACAATTTGAATAGCTCGGTCCAGAATCGTCCCAAGAACCGAGCGTCTCGATCACTAATGATATTGTGTGGGACTCCCCAATACTTCACCATATCCTTCATCATCAGCTTGGCCGCCTCCTCTGTTGAACAGTGTAGGGGAGCAGCAATGAAAGTTGCATACTTTGAAAACCGATCGACCACCACGAGTATCGATCTGAGTCTCCCTACAAGTGGCAAGCTTGATATGAAGTCCAAGGAAATGCTCTCCCACGGCCTTTCTGGTACGGGCAACGGTTCCAAAAGTCCCACCGGCTTTCGCTGCTCCACCTTGTCTTGTTGGCAAGTAAGGCATGTTCGAACATATTCCTCCACATCAGTCCCCATCTTCGGCCAGTAGAAGGCCCTCTCCACGAGAGCCAACGTTCTGTGAATGCTTGGGTGTCCAGCCCAAAGGGAATCGTGACACTCTTTTAAGAGTTCACGCCTCAAATTGTCTACTCGGGGAACATAAACCCTATTCCCTTTTGTATAAACGAGTCCCTCCTGGACCCAAAATCGTCGTGCCTTGCCTTCTTTGATGAGCTGCATTAGGATAACTGCCTGGGGCTCACTATACAGTCCATCCCTGATCCTGGAAAGGAAGTTAGAGTGCAATTGACTTGCTTGGCCTCCGCCCTCCAATTGTGCGGCATTCACACACTCCACTTTCCGACTCAATGCATCGGCCACAACATTTGCCTTCCCAGGCTTATACTCCATTGCCATATCAAATTCAGCCAGGAAGTCCTGCCAACGCGCCTGCTTTGGGGAGAAGCTTCTTCTGAGTTTGGAAATAGCTCAGAGCGATGTTGTCCGTCCTCAGCACAAATCGCGATCTGAGGAGATAGTGTCGCCAAACTCGCAGACAGTGGATCACCGCTGTCATCTCCTTCTCATGCACTGGATACCGCCGCTCGGTCTCGTTGAGTTTGCGGCTCTCGTAGGCCACCGGATGACCCTCCTGCATGAGTACTCCCCCAATAGCGAAGTCCGAAGCATCTGTATGGACTTCAAAAGGCTCCCCATAGTCTGGCAATTTGAGCACTGGTTCTTCCATAACAGCAGCCTTCAGATCTTGGAATGCTATTTCATATTTGTCAGACCACTTCCAAGGCTGCTCCTTCTTCAGCAACTCCGTCAGTGGGGTTGCACGCTTCGAATATCCCGCTATGAAGCATCGATAATAGTTGACGAAACCAAGGAAGGATCTCAACTCTGGCACCTTCTTTGGAGTTCGCTATTCCGTAACCGCTTGCACCTTCAACTTATCCATCCGAATGGAGCCATCACCGATTCGATGTCCCAAGAATAAGATCTTAGTTTGAGCAAAGTAGCATTTCTCCCTTTTCATGAACAAAGTGTTCTCCCTGAGAACCTTGAAAATTGTCCGAAGGTGTTTGACGTGCTCCTCGAGCGTTTGACTGTAGACGACGATATCGTCCAAGTAGACGACCACAAACTTATCCAAATACTCCTTGAATAGCTGGTTCATGAGAGTGCAGAACGTGGCCGGAGCGTTGGTTAAGCCGAAAGACATCACCAAGAACTCAAACGCTCCATACCTGGTCACACAAGTAGTCTTCGCTTCGTCGCCTTTAGCAATGCGCACCTGCCAATACCCCGACCGAAGGTCGAGTTTTTGAGAAATACTTGGCTTTGCCCAATTGGTCGAACAAGTCCGCAATGAGCGGGATGGGATACTTGTTCTTCACTGTCACTTTGTTGAGGGCTCGGTAGTCGACGCATAATCGGAAGCTCCCATCTTGTTTTTTCTGGAAGAGAACTGGAGCTCCGAAAGGTGCTTTAGAGCTGCGGATGAGACCACCGCTTAGCAGTTCACCTAACTGCTTCCTGAGTTCTGCCAACTCTGGCGGGGGCATGCGGTAGGGTGGTCTCGCTGGAGGCTTCACTCCTGGCTCCAGCTCGATGTTGTGATCCACGCCCCTGCGTGGTGGAAGAGTTTTCGGCAACTCGGGTGGCATAACGTCATTGAACACTTTCAGGACGTTCGCCACCACAGTAGGTTCTTGAATGGCCTTCTCGTCAAGTGGCTCTAGCTTCATCGCAGCCACGAAGGTTAATTCACCTTTTTGCACCCCTTTCTTTAGTTGCAACGCCGATATATGTTGCGGTTCCTTGGTTCCTCTCCGAGAGACAGGAACCACGCAGGGATCGTCGCCTTCCATCATACATAGGGAGTTCAAGAACGGCATTGGCACCAACTTCGCCGCGTGCATAAACTCCATTCCAAGAATCATTTGGAAGTCATCCAATGGCACTGCCATCATGTCGGTGTTCCCGCTCCATGTCCCGATTTTGATGGGGACTCCCTTCGCCAACTCGGAGATTCGTCTGGCCTCCGAGTTCACCGCCTTCATTCGACTTGGGCTCTTCTCTAAGATCAACCCAAGTTGCTTTGCTTCTCGATCGGTTATAAAGTTGTGGGTAGCGCCCGTGTCCACCATTGCACGAGTTGTTTGGCCATTGAGCTTGATGTCAACATACATTAGCTCGCCACTTCCTGCTTTTTCTTGCCTTGTCTTCGGGTTCTCCCCCACTTGACCCCGCATGGCGTTCAACAAACGCATGGCTCCCATCCGGGGTCCTTGCGACTTCTCATCGTCGCTGCTGGCTTCAGAACTACTCGAACTAAGGGCGACAGCCTTGCCCTTGTCCGATTTGGGAGGGTGGATGGAAGCTGTTAGCGCATTGAGTGCCTGTTTTTGTGGGCACTCCCTCACCATGTATAGCCCTCCACACAAGAAGCATCCGCCAGGTTTCGGGGCCTTGCCTTTCGGGCTTGGCCCTTTGTGGGAACTCTTCTTCTTTTGTTCGCCCCCGAGCTCCTTCCCTCGAGAATGTTTTGGAGGGCGATTGCCTGAAGATTGTTTCCTTCTCCCTGGGTCTTCGGAGGAAACAAAGTCGGTGAGCCTTTCTGCAGCAGCAATTGCCCCGACCACATCGGTGACATTCCTTCGATTTAGTTCCTGTTGAGCCCATGGCTTCAAACCATCGAGGAAGCTGAACAACTTGTCCTTCTCGGACATGTCCTGTATATCCAGCATTAGTGCAGAAAATTGTTTCACATAGTCTCGAATGGTGGAACTCTGGCGGAGTTGTCTCAACTTCCTTCTTGCGACGAACTCTGTGTTCTCATGTAGGAACTGAGTTCTCAACTCCCGCTTCAAGTCTTCCCATGTGTCAACCTAACACCGACCTTGTTGGATCTCCTCCCAACGGGTTCGCCACCAAAGTTTCGCATCTCCGTTCAGATACATTGTTGCTATAGAAACTTTGGTATCTTCAGAATCGGGCCTCGTAGCTCGAAAGTATTGTTCCATGTCGAACAGAAAATTCTCGAGCTCTTTGGCATCTCTGGCCCCTCCATAACCATGAGGCTCGGGTGCCCTCAAGTTTTGTGGTGGTGCAACGCGGGTGTTGCTTCCTCCCGCATTTAGTGCTCTTGTGAGCATGGCCACCTTTGAAGTGAGTTCTGCCACAACATCCTGTAAGTGTTGCACGGAGTCTTTGGTGTCGTCAGACAGTCGATCGACTAGGGCCTCGACCTTGTCGATCCTGGACTCCGCTTCCTCTTGCGAGCTCTCTACCCCAACAAGCCTTTGTTGGCCATGGTAGAGTTCCTCCACGCTCGCTTCAAGAACATCCAAGCGGGTTTCCGCCGTTGTGAGTCTTTCCTTGTGACTCTTTTTCCCAGTTGGTGCTCCAGATTGCGCCTCCTCCGCTCGCGGAGAGTAGCCAACTTCTCGCTCATCATGTTCGTTGCCACGCTCCTCTTGAGCGGCTCTAATAGCATGAGAGCGAGTGTGCACATGCAGCCCACCTGCGGCTGCTTGGGGCAAGGGTCCGGCTTGCCCCGTCTTGCTATATTCGCCACGATGCTTTGCCATGACGAAGTTGCGAAGTTCCTTCGCTGCTCGCTCGAAGTGCTTGCCCGCTCTGATACCACAATGTCACGGCCTTAGCTGGAATTGCCTAAGGCGTGAGGTGAGGCACCCTTGCGGCCAAGACGCGAACTTAGCTTGCGTTGCCTAAGTCGTGCTTCGCCCTTGCGATATTGCTCCGCAAAGATCAACCCACTTGTAACCTCTCGCAAGTCCCGAAGGACCTGTAAAAGAGAAAGTTGATTAGTTCGAAAGAACGAGCGACGGACAAGTCCCGACGTCTCGCGAAAAGAGGGGAAGCTTTACAAGCAATTCAGCGAGCACCTTGCGTGCATAAGAGAAAAGAGGGAGAGGGGGAAAACAAGGGCTTTAGAAGGTTGAACGAACAACTGCAAGCCTACAAACAGCAGCTCACCGAGTCCCGGACGCGACAACAAGTTCTCGTCAAGGCAACGTGCGAACTTGCGAATGAGTGTTCAACGCTCGGTACTATACCGAAGCCCCATCCAGCCTTGTGCCACCCAGGGGGTTCAAAGGGGCTGAGATGGCTGACGTTTTGGTGAGCGGAGGCAGATTCCAGAAATCAGCCCGCGGCATACGAAAACGGAGCTGTTTTGGGGCTATTTTGCTCGGTTCGGTGAGCGGTCGCTTTGTAACGCTGCAGCTAGTTCGAACTTACATTTTTACAAGCAAAATGACTCAAAACCAAGGCAAAACAGGCTGTCAAGTAACTGTACATGTAGATGAGAGCGACGAACGGTTCGTTGAACGGAGTTGTTGCGGGTGCGCGATGACCGTTCGTGACATTCTCCCCCACTTAAACTGTTGACGCCCTCGTCGACGCTTGTTGGTAGTTGTTGATGATCTCTTCTTCATGTCGCAGGGCGTCTTCAGGCTCCCAACTGGCTTCAGTTCGGGGAAGCTTTCGCCACTTCACCAAGTACTCTATCTGCTCAGCTCCGTTGGGTAGCTTTATCTTACGGTCCGCCAGAATGGTTTCAACTCGCTTCTCGTAGGACAACCATGATATTCACTTACCAAACATTGACAGTTAGACTCATCTTCATGCATAGTCAACAGGGGGCTTGGCATAACAAAATATTATATTTTTCCTCTGTTTCTCCTCTATATTTATTTATTTATTACAAAATCTTAACACTATGTTTGATTGAAGTTAATATTTTGTAGGTACTCATCATGGATAAAATTACAGTTAAAGTAATGTCATATTCTTGCAAGATGGCAGATATCACAGAAGAAGGAGTTTCATGTAAGTTTTAGCTACCCTTGAAATTATAAATTATGCTCTTTATCCTTTATCCTTTTACTAGATAGTTCGTCTTTCTTTATGGATATCTTAAACTTTTATATTTCTCCCATTACATAATGGGCATTTGGGAAAATATCATCTTTCCATTTTTTCATGGGTCTTGTTTCTGTTTGCACCTCTTGTTTTAAACTTGGATTTATATGGTGGTATTTTCTCAGTCTGGAAAGCATACATAAGCATATGCTGCAGTAGTTGCCAAGGAATGATCTGCAACTGAGCTTTTTATTTTAAACATCACTATTTGTACCTGTGTGCTTTTTTAATTTTTTTGAAAGACATTGATCTCCTCTCCTTTATAGGATCTTGTATTCAACTGATTTATGAAACTTATTACTACAAATTTTCTTTCAGTGGTTGAAGACCTATACAAACGACGACAGCCTTTACCATCAATGGATGCTATATATTTTATTCAGCCAACAAAAGAGAAGTAATGTCATTCTATATTTGTTTTGTTTTTGTTTTCCTCATACACAAAAAGAAACATTCATGCTCTCTCCCTCGCTTTGGTATTTAAATTTTGTTTAAACCATTGATCTTCTTTCACTATTGATGCACTGAGTTGTATGCACGGATGTATGTCTTTATTAAGTGTTTTACGTCCGACTTGATTTTATGTGAAAAAGAAGGTCTTTCTCCATTTCACGAGAGTCACTCCCTCCCATAGGAGATAAAGTGCTTGCTCATTTTCATTCACTTGTGAGGTAGATTAATTACTATCAATTTGAAATCAAGAGGAGGCCTTCTGAAACTGCTTCTACTGCTGAAAGATCGTCTTCTTTTCAGCCTTCCTTTTCTTTATCTGACTCAGAAGCCTATGCTTGTAGCTAGGAACTGTGAATATGAGCACTTCAAATGATGTATGTTAGATTATCCACCCCAGATGTTTCTTGTATGATTATCATACACAAAATGTTTTCCATGCTTTTCAGTTAATGTTAGGATATATTAACAGAAAAATTATATTATCAATTCTCCAAAAGTGCCAATCTCCAAAGTACTTTTTCACAGAACTTTGGTGCACCTAATATCTGATTACCAAGTTTGGAAATTACATTTGAGATTATGTAATAGAAATTTGTATTTAAAAAGTTTTTATCTACATTGCTTGGCATCAACCAAGAAGAAAGCTTCAAGGTGGTGATGAGAAAAGTTAAATCATTTAGCTACAACAACAAGAACAACAAGTTATAATATCCTAACTATTTGGGGTCAGCTACACGGATTATTTCTCACCACTGAGTCTTGTATAAAGCAATATCTTTACTTATTGTCATATAATGGGAAGTAGCCCAGTCTCTCAACATGACCATTGTGTTATGTCTGGTTTTCTTTTGATTTATGGACACTAAGAATATGGTGGCAAATCTAGTGTCACTTGACTGTAGAAGTTTCAGATATGTGATTTTTGTACCAATGCATGTATTAAAAGATGATTATACAGACAATGGCTTATTCATTTGGCACCGCCTGCTTTTATCAGTGCACTATTATCAATGCCTGTCTATATGGTGGGCTGCATATGGTGTTTAGAAAAGACATCCTCTGTTGTCCATCAACTTGTAACCAGCCTTCTTGAAGTTAGCTCCATTATTAGTGATTGGTTGCACTGAAAACTGCTTCAAAACTCATTTACATGATTTTCATCAGATGTTGAATACAAGGTTCGCAATACCGTACCGTACCGGTATTTCGATCTGGGCTCGGTATCGGTACGGTACGGTATACCGCTCGCTACAGTACAATGCTACAGTGCTACAGTACTCTCGGACCGGTAACAGTCGGTCCGCGTACCGACAACCTGTCGGACCGGTACATACCGCTCGTACCGGGCGGTACGGCTCGGTATGGCAGACCCTGGTTAAATGCACCAAGCACTGTGAAAAGAATGACAGAAGTGAATCAGGTACATCTCACCTGATAAGGCTGTGTGCCCCGGCTAGTTACTGCCTGGTATGCATAGTTTGGTATGCATACTGCATGCCACAACCTCTACCGGACCAAACAAGATGAAACTGCTCTATCTATACTGGTAAACATTAGATCATACCTATCTCTGCTGGTGGTATTTTAATCCATGATCCTAACATTTGTCATGAGGTGGCTGCTAAAGACCTGTATTTGCAAGGTACCATCTAATACACCTGAAACAGTAAGCAGTGGCGGACAGGGGCTGCAATCACTTGTTCTGCATAACAGTTGGACATCTTTTCAGTAAATATGTGTGCATATCAGCTGAAATGGTTGGCTTCCAAGTAGTAATACCGACTCTTTACCTAGATATATATGTTCAAATTCCAAAAATATAAGGAGGTTTTGAAGAGTTTTCTTTTTGTTTTCCTGGTAAAGTTGGAAAATAAGAAGCTTCAATCTTACCTTGAATGGAAATAACAGTTTTAAAAAATGGTTAAATTTTTCATTAAACAGAAATAAGGGAAAAGATTTTCCAAGAATTTAGTTTTAATATTTTCCTCAGGGATTCAATTTTCTGTAATGTTTCCATTGCATTGAAACATACTTTAAAGGCTTAAACAATCATACAATTTGTTATGCCCCTTCTGAAATTATGTTGCTTTTACCATATCCGAAGTTTGAAACTACTTATTTAAGAGTATATACTAGGGTATTGTAGCTTGATCAGCTGATCATTTATGTGGAAAATTTCTATTTTAGAGCTGCCATAACTCATAGGCGTATGACCACAATTGGAAATCAGTCTAATTTTTTATCAAAATCATTTGTGAAGGATGTATTACAAATGCTAAACAATTAGAACAAGGTGTAGGACTTGTCTTAGTATAGTGGCAATGATGAAGTTGCTTGATTGACCTAGCATCATAGTTTGCATTGTGGAAACAGATTCCCTGCATGCTGGGATAAGGCTATGCACATCAAACCCTCCTTGGAATCCATTTCTGTAGTTGCTGGATCTTCATGCACTATTAATGCCTTTAATAAGGAGTTAATGGTATATTAAATCAATAGGAAAAACTTTATTTGTTGTTTTGTAATATGGCTGAGAAAATTTGACAGTGAATGGGTTATATCTCTTCTTGTTTCCATGGTTTAACCTGTTGAACATTATTCAATTTTTGTGGGTATAACACTCATAATTTATTTACTGATGATGCCTGAAATTACATTTTTAACATGGTATTGATTTGACATGCGAACTGTCTTCATTTGTATGTGCACTCATGTTCATGATTTGCTGAACATTGGTTAGTAAATAAATCATTTCATATTATCTTTAGACCTTTGTGATATTCAACAACAAAAAAAAAGAAATGTTACTTTGCCGCTACTGTCCCTTGTGCCTCATAATAGATGCTAAAAGATTAGAAATAATTGTCTTCAGAAAACCAAAAGATATTAGAACCTTGGTTTATTTACCATAAGGCTAATGGCGAGGTCCTCTTGAAGTTCTCTGAGTTTACCCCTTATCCATGTTCTGACCTCAGGTTGTTTGCCGTCTTTTTACTGAACTTTTTGTTTGAAATTTTGACATTTTGAAATCTGTAAACATCTAAATAGCATCCTAAACTTCTACTTGTATAAATTCCAATTTCCAAGATTTTATATTGTTCAAAACCATGACTTTAACAACATTGCATATTCTGATAGCTTCTATGGTCTACTACATGCTGAATGCTTGGTTTCTTGTGCATATATATGTATATGCATATATATGATACTTCTAATATGCTACATTCATTTATACAGTGTGGTCAGGTTCCTAGCTGACATGTCAGGAAGGTCTCCGTTGTACAGAAAGTATGCTTTAAGCTAACATAATTGTATTTTTCAAACTTCAACTTGAATTTCTCAAGGTTCTAATGTGAATTTTTATCCATTTTGTTCTAGGGCATTTGTTTTCTTCAGTTCACCTGTTAATAAAGAATTAGTGACACTTATAAAGAAGGATGCTAGTGTCTTACCTCGCATAGGTGCACTGAGTGAGGTCAAAGTTATTTCCTGTTTCTCTATTTTTTGAACATATAAAGATCACCTTACTTGCTGGACATTTTAATTTATTCATCTTCATGAATTTGATTGGTGAATTTGGTGTTCCTTCCTGAAACATCTTTTTAGTTAATTTCATTTTCTTGTGATGGAATTTGCAGATGAATTTGGAATATTTTGCTATTGATAGCCAGGTATTTTTGTCACTTCATGTTCTAATTGCTTCATGTGTTACTCCCTCAGTACATTCTGATTATTGGTTATTTGGAACAATTTAGGAAATGGATCAACTGAATTTTTTATTCTTAAGATAATGTCATTGTTAAGGATGTACACACCCAATTGCCATATTTTGTGATGTGACATTTAGGGTTTTGTAACCGACCATGAGAGGGCTTTGGAGGAATTATTTGGGGAAAATGCAGAAGGTTCTCACAAGTACAATGCCTGTTTGAATACAATGGCCATTCGTGTTGCTACAGTACTTGCATCCTTGAGGGTATGGTTATTGATGACTTGATGACACTGATTAATATTTAGTGAAATGTTGTTTATAGCTGCTAGGAGAATATGAAAAGTTTGTTCAACTTCAATTGTTAATTAACAGATGTTTGTGGTAAATAAAGTGATGAAACATCTACTTCACTGATACAACATTCTGTAGCTTCGTCTTGAATTTCTGCTGATTTGTGACTAAAAAGTAACTGTCTTTCCTGTATTTTGAAGTATGATTGAGTGACATGTTGGTTCCAAACTGTAACTGATGCAGTGACCCACATATTATTGAGATGGAATCTTAGAACTGTCTGTCCGGCTTTCATCATAATAACACCAATCTTGGAGTTGATGCACCTCATAGCAAACATAATTTACAAGTCTCTTAGAATTTAATGAATGAATGACAAGTTTAGTGAGTAAAGACTGATCACAGGTAGATTACCTTGGATAGCAGGGACAGGTTAGATGCAGGATAAGTCACAAAAGGTAAGGTAACATGGGCATCTGGCCTAAGAAAACATGATGTTTCCATTTGTAAAATAAATAATCAGCTCTCTTTCTATCTACTCTCTAACAAAATAAACCAAACTGTTGTAGGATATAAAGCTGTTTACATCAGCAAGAATGATATCATTTAGTCATACAACTTAAATTAATATAAAACACAAATGGCGAAGATCCGATGAACTATATTTAGGTGATACCTGTCCCATTTCTTTTCCTCCTGGATTCGTGTCAAGCAGATAAGACTCTTACAGATTAAAGGTCTTAAAGTTGTGTAGTATTACCAATGGCAGTCAAGTGGGACTCTTAGAAGTTAAAGGGCTGAAAGTAGCGTAGTATTACTGCAGTGATCACCGTTCAGCTATCAAATATTGAAAAAACTGTTAGTCTTTCTTTAATTGAATTTTGACCAACTTTAAACAGGACTACTAATACCCTATTATGTTGCAACAACAGCTACATACCACAATACCTCAATATTTTTGTGCTTGGCTACATGGGCTTTCTTTTGTTATTAAGCTTGGTGTCAGGAAATATGCATTTAAATTAATAGAAGGTAGATCTCACTATATTTTCTCTAGAAAATTTTATTGGATTTTGCTCTACCCCTGGGTCCACTAATCCTATTTGATTTTCCTCATCTAGCTAGAACATCTATATGTCTACTGTGTATATGTCCACTATCTTAAACAATCTTGCTTCATTTTATTCTCTTCTGGGGCTACCTTTGGTTGTTTATAAATAAAAACAGTTGTGTTGTCTTGTCTTCTCCTGCAACTTCTCATATTTACCTCGACTTTCTCATCTCAGCTACATTTACTTGTACAAGTTTCTCAGCTCAGTTACATTTTGGTTCTCAATGTTTTACAACAAAATGACCTTACAATTGTCTTATAAACTTTTCTTTTAATTGTCTTATACAATGGTCTTATTATGTTAAATTTCTAATATGTGATATAATTCTGTGAAAACTGAAGCAAAACTTCACTTTATTCAGAAAAAAATACAGTATTACTCTGTATAACCCTAATCAAATAACATCCAAGTAGGTCGAATTGCACTAAGAAAAACTGAACGTATATAGGATCAAAATATATGATAATATTATTTTGAAATACAGAAAAAATAGATATAAAAAACTAATGTTCTCTTATTGGACTTAGTCTGAACTCTAATTAGCCTTATAAATAGAATCAAGCTTAAACCCCGACGTCCATTATAAACAAAGCTTGTCTACAGGAGATGTTCATGGGTTTATTATTGGTCTGTCTGTAATTGTCGTTACCAAATCTACTAAGTTATTAACAATTCCTTTTGGGTCGACCTAAATCTTCTCTTGCTTTCTTCGACATTGTAGAAATATAGTACAGAAACTAATTTTAGATTTTTTTAGTCTCCTGTTATGTTCTGTTTGTCCTTCATTTGGCACATGGTATTGGTCCTAGTCTGTTGGTGTATGTATGCCTGTCCTTGTATGTAAAATTTGGGAACAATCTCTTTGGCCTTTAAATTATGAGTTCCCAAAATTTGAATGGAATAGAGACATTTGAACTGGTTCTTTTGGAGACATTGAATCAATGCTATCCCAAATTCTGAATATAGTTGATTGATGTTCATTAAATTATATGCAAACTAGAACTTGTTTTCTGCCAGTTTTAGAACCTGAAGTAATTCGTGTTTTTTTTTCCCAAAGAAAACTGATTTTTTTTAACTATTAAAGAAGGTAACATTATCAACAAGCTCGTCAGAGCTTAGTATACAGGATAGGAATGGGGGCCATTGAGACTTCCACACTCTATTTTCTCTCATAAGTTTAGCATGCATTGCAAGGGAATGAGCAACCTTATTACCGTCCCTGGGTGTATGAGACAATACGATTAGTTGAAACTTGGACATAAGAGGCAATATATTATTGATGCAATTTCTAATAGGCCAAGGGGTAGTAGCCTCTTTCTTTAGTATCTTTATGAGACGTAGATTATCTGATTCCACCGCCAGATAGGTGATTCTTTCTTGTAAAGCCATCTGCAGTCCATTTTTAATTGCCGGCACCTCATTATACTCAGCTTCCATCTCCATGGTAGTTTTCCACCCTGCAACAGTACACTGTCCATTAATATTCCGTAATAGAAAACCGATCTCACCATTACCCGTAGATGCATCATAAGCTTCATCTGTAATTAACTTTACATAACCTGTAGCCGGTTTAATCCATTTAACCTGAAAGGAAACAGGTTGGATCTCACCCATAGGTCCTTCAGACAATTGTTTTGAATTCATCATGTACGAAATTGCTTTACAACCTGAAGTAATTAGTGTTATGGGCATATTTTTTTTAATGTGGATATTTTGTGTAATATGGTCTTTGATAATTTTTTGGGTTAGGGATAATAAATTTCTTTATTGCCTTTGACCCTTTGTAACTAGGTTATGTTTCTTTATTGAACTACTTGGTTTCTCGTTTTCCTGTTGCAAATCTATTTATATCTTGTATGCATAATATTTCACACATTTATAGATGTCGATATGCTTATATTTGTAAATACAGACAGAGAGGTTTCATCTCACTTATGATACTACATACTTCCCAGGAATTTCCTAATGTGCGCTACCGTGCTGCTAAGTCATCTTTAGATGTTTCCATGTTGACAACACTTCGTGATCTAGTCCCAACTAAACTTGCTGCTGCAGTTTGGAATTATCTTGCCAAGTATAAGGCTACGATTCCTGATTTTCCCCAAAGGGAGACATGCGAGTTACTTATTGTTGATCGTTCCATAGATCAGGTACTAGCTTTTCACAATCTCTAATATGCTTTCTAGCTTTAAATGGTATGGACTATGATTTAACCAACACATATATGTTACTGAATAAATAGATTGCTCCCATCATACATGAATGGACCTACGATGCCATGTGTCATGATTTACTAAACATGGATGGTAACAAATACACACATGAGGTAAGTCTGTCATTGTAGAACTATGCAGATGTAGTGGCTATCAGTTCTGTTTTGTGGGCTGTTATTGAAACTTTTTCTATTAATGTGAAGGTTCCTAGCAAAACAGGATCAACAACTGAAAAGAAAGAGGTCCTTTTGGAAGATCATGATCCTATTTGGCTTGAACTTCGTGATGCACATATAGCGGATGTTAGTTTTTGATGATTTAAATCTATTCTATAAATATTTGTTGGATGAGAGTACATAAAATTGCTACTCAATTTAATTCTCTGGCAGGCTAGTGAGAGATTGCATGAGAAGATGACAAATTTCATAACAAAGAATAAAGCGGCTCAAATTCACCATAGCTCAAGGTAAACACTTTATCTCTTGAACCTTCAGCTACTATAATTATAAATATGCTAGCTTCTTGGAAATAAGCAGATATTTCAAGGCTAAGACCTGTTTAGCTTGTTGATTTCTACAAAAGCTAACTGCTAAGCCAACTTATCAAATGATGAACATATTAGGTATGTGCAAAATGGACTACCATGATTGGTTTATAATATTACGTTATAGGGCATTACCAGCATACATATTTTGATAAGTAGTTATTTTATTTGTCTAGTTAGATTAGTTTTGCAATTCAACTAAAGTTTTATTATGAATAATGCCATCACATATGAAGTTTAAAGTCTACCTATATCTGCATAGATGTTTGAGTTAGTCAAGGATTTAATTTTTGTTGGCATGTCTCATGTCAGCACTATTTTTCCTTGGTTCCTGCTAGGATACATGTTATGCCATTGGATTTATATAGACTGGTGCAAGCCAACTATATCCAGATCGGTGTGTTGGCACGGTCTAGACATGGCATATATTGTTAGTATCATATTGACATGGTATCATATAGTCATAGACTCATAACTAACCTAAACTTCCTGAATCTTGAACCCATGAATGCTTTTGTATTGTTTATGAAAGCTATGAAGTTAAGATTGTCAATTCAAGCATGTTCATAGTTGTATTAACTATTAACTATTAACTATTAAGTGTTAACTTAGATGCAGTGAGTAACTCAGACTATTGTATACAACGAATGCCCAGATAGTTGGATCAATAGATTTTAATCTTGGTTTACGGAACTATGTACTAAATCTGTATCATGCATTGACAATGTCTTTTTCACCATGTTTGGTGCTGATGAGCTATTGTCATTGTGCTCCCTTAGCATGAAGCATCTGTTTCTGGCACAACAATTCTATTTGTTGGTATAAGCCTATTGTTGTGAAGCTGGCACATCGCTGCTTTGCGTTGGCATGTTGCCTATATGCTCCTACTAATGAAACTTAAAAATTGTAGTTTAATGCAATGTTCATTCATTGTTAATTTGTGATACAGCGGAAATTGGCTGTTGAACACTTAAATTTGATGGCCTTGATAATTGGTTTTATGCTGGAAGTATGAAATAATTTTCTAAGGGAATGAAGCATTCAACATAGGGATCAAGAGGAAGGAAGGTGAATTATTCTGCTTAAATATAATTTTAGTCGAAAAATATGATTAGTTGTTCTTCTGCTCAAGAACAAGGAAGCTGAATTCTTCTGCTTAAAATCGTGTGTAATGTGAGATAATTTTGATTTATTTTTCTCTTGAATAAATTTTGTTAGTATAGGGTGTCTTTTGAATTTTATTGAACATTTTGTTGAACTTCCTTTGCTGTTAATGAATAAACAAGGAAGAGAGCCTATCAATCAAATATTTTACCCAGAAAGATTGTTTGCCAAGAATAAGTATGAATATATACCTTCTCTGAATAAGGAAAGAAGACATGATCGATTTGTTTTTATTTATTGAATGTAAATTTCTTTATTTACCATACCATGCCACCTTGTGATTCAAACTAAAATGGCATGTTATGCGATATATTGATTTTGCTCCATAGACTTATTACGACATTTGTAAGTCTAGTGATTGCCTTCATTTCTAAGAGGGTAGCTAATTTTTTACTGAAATCTTTGATACTGTGATTAGATCTATGCTATTTGTATGTTGATCTTACCTGTGACATTGTGAAACTGTTTCCTGGCAATTTATAGGATCTCAGTGTCATTATGGGGACACCATATCTGATCCTGTTTTTTCTTCTCATTTGTAATTAGAGATGGTGGTGAGCTGTCCACTAGAGATTTGCAAAAGATGGTTCAAGCTTTGCCACAGTATAGTGAGCAAATTGACAAGCTTTCCCTCCATGTAGAGGTTAATCTTATCTCCTAAAACCTCCAAGTGATTTGTCTTTCCAGCTGACAAATATGATTTTACTTTTTCGAACAATGTTTGATATGTAATTGACTATTTCTGATTAAATAGGAAACAGTGCCAGTGAGAAATACACTGGATAATAATCATATTTCAGTGGTTTTGCTTGTCTACTTTTCTGTATGTTTAGTTTCAGAGATATTTCCTATTTTTATCCTCATTATATTTCACTGTGGTCTTTGCTCTTTGAACAAAAGATCGAGCATCTCAAATCCTGTGATAAGTGTAGCCTTTTTGTCTCTCATAGGGGTAGCTGAATTGATGTAGATAGTGAACTGGCTTTTCACTTTTTCAGTCAAGTTAGTGTAACTTCTGTTGTCGAGTTTCATATTCTCGTCCTTCAGCACTTTATGAGACGCAAAATTATCCTTTTAGCAAATTTTGTCCTAATTTTTGTGTACATATCTAATCCCTCTTCTCTGGTCATTTGGCTGAAATTTAGCTTTAGTTGTGACACAATTACTAGTGCTGTTATTGGGAGCATATTGCTAATTTCTAACATATTTTGTTCTACCACATTCGCAAATTTGTTACATTTCCGATAAAGGCTTAAAGTTTATCGAATCATATGCATGCTGGTTAGGACAGTTTCATGGCAGAGATCCATTAATCTATAGAACTGCTAACATTTAATTTAAATTTTTTTTTTTCATTTGACATGGTTAGCTGTGTGACCGCTTCATGCATGTTCTTTCTACTAAAGATATCTTCGACCAAACTCAAGTGCCCATTGTCTTTCCTTTCCGATCAAAAGTTTTGGCAGATCTCAAGTCATGCCTGGCGGTAGTGATAACATCGCCTAAGAACTTTGATTTCCTGACACTAGGTTGCAAAGCCTACAGCAAAAGAAATATGTAATTGCTAAATGCACCAAATCTATAAGACAACTATGGTAATAATATCTTTCATTTCCAACTAGATCTTTTTGTTGCAAATTGTCCATTCAGTGTATTAAGTAACATATTTGACTAGTGGTGCAATACAGAAGAACTTCCTAGTTTGTCCATAGAAGGCATGCCAGCAGGGTCTACAAGGATTTGTACAAATCTTAAATGCTTTGACTGTTAAAGTGGGTCTTGGGATACTTTTGGCATGGCATTGAGCTCTATGCATATGCCTTACTAGCATGGTGCAATTAACATTTATATACTTGGTTATTACCTGTATATTATGGTTTATATACTGTGTTGGGATATTGCTTCTTTGCTATTTGAGAGGCCAGGGTTTGAGTCAAGGAAACAATCTCTCTATATTTATAGGGATGGCTCCAATAAGAAGGGTTTTAATTTAACGATTTGAACACCTATTGATTTTAACAATTGATTGTAGAGTTGATCATTCGGATCTTTCAATTCATAGATGTAGATTTCGGACCTATGAATGAGGATATTTCTGACCCAGTACTTGCAAAGATAAAGAGAAGTGACTTGGACAAGACCCTCCTTAGACCCCATATTGGCAGGAGCTTCATGCACTGGATATGCCCTTTTTATATTGGTTTATCATCATTTTTGGAAACCATAGGACCATTATAGTACCAATGAATAAAGTGGTATATCGACCAGTAAAAAAACTAAGTAATAAATATGATGATGAGATTTGAATTTACCTTGACTTGAAGAAATCACACTCTCTCACAAGAAATCCATCCCATTGCAAGAGAGAGCTCAAAATCTAAGCTATTTGGGAAATTTGATGCAAAAAGGGGGAGGTTTGGAAAAAAATAAAGAAAATGATTAGGAGAAAATGGGTTGTTAGTGGAGAAGAAATAAGAGGAATGAGTAATCAGGTGAGGCATGAAAAAAAGATGGTAAGAGTACAGGCAATAGGCTGTCGGCTCACTTTTTGGTGCAATTTGGTAAGATGAGAATAATGAGTAGTATACCCAGTAAGGTAAATCTACTGGCTTACCAATGGTATGGAATTAGACTGGATGAGATTGATGTATCCATGTGTTGGCCTGCAGTCGGACTGGTAAATATCAATTGGCATGAACTGATCTGATAGAATCCTTGAACTGTGGTGTCACCAGAACCATGATGAAACTACTCTTTAAGAGTTTATTAATCAACTTGATCAAGTTCAAAAATTTCAAATGATGATGGGAGAACTGTAAGCTGAGACTTTCTCTCTGCCCAGGCTGATACAGCATTGTAAATTCACTCCAAAGAATTTTCTCTTCCTATGCTGTCAAAATTGTGGTTGGGATTCTAAAATAGGGTGCCACATCAACCTTCAGCAGTTTAGGCATTACTGACCCCACAAGGATTTCTTAATTTATGCTATTTCAGTATCATTTACACTTATTTCTTGTTTTTCAATAGATGTATGTTTCTGGATAATAACAACTGAGATTCCTGTGGACCAGATATTGTAAAGTTACAAGAATAATCAGATGGAAAATTGCCTTTACATAATCTTATATTCGTTTGCAGATTGCAGGGAAAATTAATAGAGTAATCAGAGAACAGGGGCTTCGAGAAGTTGGACAGCTGGAGCAGGATCTTGTCTTTGGTGATGCTGGGACCAAGGAACTAATAAATTTTTTGAGGACAAAGCAGGTTTATTATTATCAATCATTATGTGTGTGTGTGTGTGTATATATATATGCAAGTTTCTCTAATTTGATGTCTAAAAAATGGCCATCTGCAGGATGTCAGTCGTGAAAATAAATTGCGTTTAATGATGCTCTATGCATCAATCTATCCAGAGAAGTTTGAAGGTGAAAAAGGATCAAAGTTAATGGAAGTAAGTGATAATCTTTTGCATATACAATCTGCTTTCCTATGTTATCACATATTGTAGTCAAGTATTTGTCAAACTCCATATATCAAAATTTAGAATAACTTTAAAGAATAATGGTGATATTTACAATGCTGAGCTATTTATGAGATAAAATGTTTATGATCTAAGTATTCAACAGTATATGAGAAACAAATGATATTGATGAGATCATGGAATTCTATGTTTCTAATTTCCTAATAAATGAAGGATGAGAGTTTATGGGATCTATTTCTTATATGCATATAATGGTGAGATAAATTTGTTGATATTCAATTTATTTATTTTCCAGCTTGCACAATTGTCATCTGATGATATGATTGCTGTAAACAATATGCGCTATTTGGGAGGGTCTGATACTAAGAAGGCATCAGGAAGTGGTTTCTCCCTCAAGTTTGATATAAGCAAGGTAACCCCGCCTGTGCTCCTAAGTTCATGATTATAGATTTATCCCTGCAGGTGATTTCTGGCAATAACTTCTTTCAATCTATCTTCTGTCAGAAGAAGCATGCTGTAAGAAAAGAACGGAACTCAGAGGAAACCTGGCAGCTGTCACGTTTTTATCCTCTGATAGAGGTTAATTTTATCATGCTTGAACATATTAAGTTTATATTTCTGTACTTCTATGGGTTATCTTGGTTGTTACTTCTATGGGTTATCTTGGTTGTTTTCTCTTGTCTTTTCTCTTTTGTTTCCCTGCCTACTACCTTATATGATTTGCTGGCTGAAAGAAAATGAAACTGGTTATTTATTTATTTTCTTACTCATGAGGTGTTTTACCCAAGGACTGTGGTATCACCTGAAATGGTACAAGATGGGTGGGACTTACCAGTCCTGATGTGGATCACTACATGTATCACCATCCATTTTGGGTGGTTGGTCCAACTCAGGGAAAAAAAATAAAAAAACTAAAACAGTGATAAAACAGCGATGGGTCCCATCCAACTCAGTATTGAAAAAGGAAAAACCTAAATTAGCAACTAGGGCTAGCGAATGCGAGCCCACTTCTTGCAGTGCTGCTGCCGCTGCTTCATGAGCATTCTTCTTGTTGCTACCATCTTCTTGCAATGCTGCTGTCGCAACCGTTGTCGTTCGACATCACGCCAGCCTTCTTCTCGCCGCAGCCACATCTTCTCATGACACCGCTACGGCTGTTGCTGCCACTCGACATTGTTGCTGCTGCCATTCGCTAGTGTATCTCCCAAGTATACTCCCACCTCTTCTCCTCTTCTTCCTTCTCCACTAATTCTTCTTCTTCTTCTTCTTCTTCTTCTTCTTCTTCTTCCTTCCTATTATTCCTCCACTATCTCTCCTTCCTTTCTCTTCCTTCTTTCTTCCTCCTCTTCCTCCACTATCTCTCCTTCCTTCCTCTTCTTTCTTCCTCTTCCTCCACCCACTTTTCCACTTCTCCTTTTTCTTCCTCTTCGAAATGCCAGTATGTACTGGTGTATTAACACATGGTACATCGGTAGTGGTCGGTATTGTACCTATTCGACAAGATTATCGAAATGGGTCTAGTACCTGAAACGGTGATCCTTGGTTTTACCCAGTGTTTTTATTAAATTTTGAATAAAGTGATGTAGAAGCTACGTACAAGGGAACTGTTACAGAAATGGGACACATCTTCGCATGTTATAGATTAGTTGAAATTATGAAGTCAGAAAAAATTCAATTGACTTACCAAGTTATCCCCTAATATGTTTCTAATATAGAATATTCTCTTTATTGTAATTTTCTTTTTTCATATTGAAGGCATTCAAATCAGAAATATAGAAAGATGTTCTGGTACTTTTGAAAATTGAAAGGAAAAACTATCAGGAGTGACAATATCATCTTTGGGACTGATCTTTTGATTTACAAGATTGCAAGATAAAGAAAGGTGTACATAGCAGTTATTATAAAATTCTTTATTGCTTGCAATTTTGTAAGAAGATCTTAAAGGACTATCAAATGGAGTAGCTGGTTGGACTGTGAAGAGACAGCGAACTTGCAAAGTATATATGCCTTAAATTGAAGATTGAATCATACATGATGTTCGTATTATGTTGTTCATCTTCATCTATTTTGCTCTTCATCTTCACTCTTGATCAGCAAATGAATTGAGCTACAAAATATAAATAGCCTTATCTGACTGGTGATGCAAGTCCCTTTTGCAGATCATACTGTTTGGCTGTGCACCAAATATTTTATATGAGGGTTAGTAATACTCACATAATAATCTCATTCATCTAGCTCTTGCATGTTGATCTAAAATGCACATGTATTATTATGATAAGGCTTATGTGTGCTTAAGCCAGTCATGAGTTTGGAAAAAAGGGAGTGCCTTAGGCAGCTAACAACCAATGCAAAGCTTTTTTCAGATCTTATAAGTGAATTTGTACTGATTCCAGAAGAGGATTAGCACATTAGTTGACAGTGATGTGAGACATCTTTATTAGCCAAATAACATAGGGTAGACCAATAGAACATCTGGAAGCGACCCTAACATATCATAACTCGAGTGTACTGTAAAATAAGGGATCTTGTACTGTTTTGAACCAATATGATAGTCCAGGTAAAGAATATAGTTCAGATAACAGGATTAGATGAGATAGCAGAATATAGGAACATTTGTATACAATTGGTGGGCAGGATGATCAGGAGTGAACAATTATAATTTGTTTATGGAAAGTGAATGTGTGGATGATAATTGATTGAATGTAGACTGTGGTTCATGTAATAGATGAAAATTGCTCTGGTTGATAGTCCAAATTAGACATGGTTTGCTTATCATCTTGTGCAAGTTACAATGAATTGATAATTATCATTCCCACACTATTTTTTTATTTAGTCTGGCTCAGATATACTTGCTCATCTTTGATCTTTTGTTGGTCATTATCTTTTTCTGATGTTCATTCCTGTTTAAATTTTAGGAGTTGCTTGAGAAGCTTAGCAACGGTAATTTGCCAAAGGATGAGTACCCTTGTATGAATGACCCAAGTCCAACTTTCCATGGAACTTCACAGAACACGTCTGTTCGGACAACCCATGCTCAGCCCGCGCAGGCACACTCTGTCAGATCCAGGCCAACTGCAACATGGGCTAGGCCTCGCAACTCTGATGATGGCTATTCAAGGTATGAAGACAAGTGACTTAATTGCTTAGCCCATTGTCCATATTGTAGCCCTGAATGAGGCTGTGCTATATTTCGAATCCAAGTGGCAGATCTGATTAGTGCTATTTGATGTTTGATCAATCTAGTTGTTAGTATGAGGGCAATGTATGTTTTATTTATTAGCTGATCAGAATTTTTTCATCTGTAGTGATTCCATATTGAGGCATTCTTCAAGTGATCTTAGAAAGATGGGCCAGCGGATATTCATCTTCATCATTGGTGGGGCCACAAGATCTGAGGTAGCTCAGTGTTTACCATTTTGTGTGTCCTGAATTTACTTGTTGGATCTTGTTTTAAATTATTCTTTTCAAATGCTACTTCAGCTACGTGTAGTTCACAAACTTACTTCAAAGCTGAATAGAGAAATCATCCTTGGCTCATCCAGTCTGGATGATCCTCCCCAGTTTATCACGGTGAGTTTCTACTCGAGAAAATCTTTGTTTTGCATTTAACAAAGTAATATGATCTGAAGATATTATTGTGGTCTTGTATCTGAACTTCTAACGTGAATTCACCTTCCCTACATGTTATTCCTAATCATACTCTTGCATGATAAAATTTATAATGCTCAAGTACAGAGAGGTAACATGTTTTCTTAGAGATACTAACTCTGCCATTAGTCAACTTCACTTGTGAATTTGTGGAGCAATTGACTCTTTTCTATGAAATCATTGCAAGACCTAATTAGGTTAGTGAACAGTTTATCTCAAATTCAACAGTTCTCATTCTACCGAAGGTAACAAATTACATGGCAGTATAGGCAATGGTGGCCAACTTCTAAGAGTGCTTTTACTCTTTCTTGATCAAAGGATTTACGATACAATAACACCAAGGCATTAATGTCCCAATTATTTGAAATTGGCTACATGAATCAGTCACCACTGAGTTATATAAAAAGTCATCCTTAGGTCTTGCTCTACCTCTCAATTTAATATAGGTCACCATTGAACTATATTAAATTGAGAGTATTTAAACGTTTATTTATAGTTTTTAGTAAAATCCTTTTAGGTCATGCTCTACCTCATTATTTATGTTAATCCTCCGTCAAAGGATAAACTAAAACATTTGGAAATTGCATTGACTCTTTTCTTGGTACCTTGTATGCACTGTAAAACTTGAAGACTTCTTGCAGTAACTACATCTTTGTTCCTAAGCCTTATGCCCGTGCAACTGATTCCCTGCTTGTTGAATCTATGAATTCACTGCTGATAATATGCCTGACTATATTTCTCTGAAATTGTTACTGCAGAAATTGAAACTGATGTCAGCTCAAGAAATTTCGCTGGATGATCTTCAAATATAAACTATTCACACATATTGGTTCTTCTGCTCACTGGCTGATTTTAGGTTGATCTCTTTGTTTTTTGTTATGTATTTCACATTTTGGATTTCAGCTTCTGAAATATTATTATACGCCATGTAGCCTGCTCCAGTTGAGACTCATGGTCTGGTGAAGCTGATCAAGTTACCGACATGCATCATGTTGATGATGATACCTAATCACTGTTTATACTTCAAACTGTACACTGTATTGTCTGCACCCGCTACGTTCCAAGTGTATCATAAACATTTACTGTTTCAGACATGATTATTCTGAATGAGGTACCTTAGTTATCATCAAACTTTTCCCATATAAATCTTGTGGAAATCCAGTGTGTTGGTTCTACTCGGAGTTCAAACTGTTTAAAAGCTGTCGGACCAGAATTAAAAACTGTATCACCAGTCTGCTGCTTTTTATTTCTGGATTTAATAGAAATGATTCGGCTCTTTGGTTTGTTAACTTGAAAGTTCTCTGAGTACACGCTATAATCGATGCAGCATAACATTATGTGTTTACCTGTGGCAGATTTCTAATTCTAGCAATGTAATTGTACTTTCACGGTTTCACCAGTCATCAAATTTTAAGTGGCTTGCTTTTAGTCTGTGGTGATAATTGTATATTTAGTATAATCATGTCTTTTGATTTTTAATGAATCTATTACCAAATCATAGTGGAAATCGAAGTTGCTTTCGAGAAATCGTCTTTGCTTCTTTAATAATATGCTGCTTGAATATTTACATTCAAAGTGATATTGCTATTGAATGCCTCCTCTATCTTCGGTTGGACAGCGTAATCATCTTTTCATATATACAACCTCGTCTTCGTCCTACTAACACAGACATATTTGGTAACTAATTGGATGATATGGATCACTTCTGTGGGCGTATAATACAACTTTTGTAAGCGTTTAACAATATGGAAATTAGCCATTACCAAATCCAACCCAAATTTTAGTGTAGACCTTTAACGGGTTATTATATTATGAGGCCCACATGCTGAGTCGAGCCAGGTGGACCAATTACAGGATGCTGGTAAAAGGTGAGGCCCGCAGGCAACCAGATCGAGTGTAGGTGTCACGTTTTCTCGCTAGAAGGCAGTTAGGGACGGCAAAGCATTTCTCGCTCGCCGTCTTTTCCTGCTTGCATCGGCCGGCAGACGCGGCCCTTTCCCAGCGTGCACCTACAGAGATGGAGCAACGGTCGGATCTCAAGGCGTTGGTGAAGGTGGCGGTGTGGGTGGCCATGTCTATGACCTACGCTCGCTTCGCCGCCTCCCGCTTTAAGCCCAGCAAGACCCGCTTCCTCTCCCTCCTCCCTTACCTCCCGCTCCACTTCTTCGTGCTCCACGGGGCGTGCATGGCGGCCATGGATTCCTTGGAGGCGGTCGGCCAGGCCGTTCTCGCCCGTGTCACACTATACTATTGTAGACTCCGCCAACACCAGATTCAGATGGTAGGGTAGCGAGGTAATAAAGGGAATTTTCTTTTTCCAAATGAAGAGAAAAACAATATTAACGAACCATAAAAATAAAAGTCAAATTGGAAGATAGATTTTCTTCCCGACAAGCATGAAGAGGTTCTTCTAGCAAAATTAGCCCTCCCTTAAAACATGTGATGCTTTAAAACTCTATGAAGGAGGTTCAAATACCTTCCTTAGAACAAGCTACAGATTCTTTACGGGATAATAGCTCTAAATTCTTCCGGAGATTCTAATCAGCACCTTTGAATTCGTCTTAACATGGATTCTCTGGATACCAAATCCATGTTAAGATGAATTCAGCACCTTTGAATTCGTCTTAACATGGATTCTAATAAGCAGCCTTTTACTACTTTACTGTAGTCACCTTACGGTACAATATATCCCTTCGAGTCATATTCTTGCATTGCATCCATAAAATAAACAACAAGCAAACATCAATAGGAGCTTCTAATAGAAGAAAACTTTAATCCTGGGGACCAGAGGAAGTCTTCACAGACATTGCCACCCATCCCAAAAATCTATAGAATTTAGCCTATGGGATTAAAGGAAATGGAAAGTAGGTTTGGTCGAAGTTTTACTATGCACATCAGACCATCTATCATCGTATGACTCAAGGAATAAATCAATCTTAGTAATCTTATCCACAAAAACCGATCTAAACGCATTATCAAGCTCATTAAAATTCCATACATCATCAATCAAAACCCATCTAATTTGTTATAAGAAGAGCGCAAGGACACGTTAAAGAATGTAGGTTTAAAGTTGAGTGGAGTATCTAAAATCCATGAGTAATTAAAAGATATCAATACAAGTGTCACTATTAAAACAATGCAAATAAAGCCGTTTTGAGTTGGTCAAAAACTTTTAAAAATAACCTCCCGTCCAGCTCATCTTAGGAGTGGGCCTAATGGTCTAAGGATTAAAATTTTCGGCTCTCACCACATACACATATAACCTATTCTCATTATTGAGGTATAACTCAATGCATTTGGTTTGTAAAAAAAAAAAAAGTTTATATGTCCTTAATCCCAAGCTCCTTATGTGTTTTAGAGGCCAAGACCACCTCCTAGGAGGGGAGGTATAAAACACTAGGGTGATCAATTTTTTTATCAAAAACAATTTTCTTATATATTTGTTATTATCACTAAGGACAAATTGTGGCATTCAGGTTACACTTAAGGAGTGTAATGACATAATGGTTACGATGGAGTTAATGAGAATAATGCTACTAGCTTGCAAAAGAAGAGATCCTCGCCAAATCCTAATTCTATTAGTAATCGTCGTCATAGCTTGCTCATGTACATGAGCTGATACCTTCTAGGAGCTACTACAATTCTAAGATACTTGAAAGGAAAGGTATCTTCCTGAATGTTAAACTAGTTATATATATTCTTCTTTGTATCTGGATGAGTAATTCGAAGGAAATAGATATCAAATTTTTGGACATTAATTTTAAAGTTGGTAAGGGATTCAAACAATTGAAAAATTTTGATAACATTATCACAAGAGGTTATAATGGCTTTAAAATAGAGAAGAATGTTATTAGCATAAAGTAAATTATACAACTTGTAAGATCTTGTAAAGTAGAAAGGGGTAATATGGTCACTACAACAAGTTTGATTCAAGAAGTATGACAATAGTTGAGATATAAGGATAAACAAATAAGGGATCCCCTTGTTTAATACCTCGGTGACCTTTAAAAATGTGAGAGGTTTTGCTATTGATAAGATAAGCATAGTTAGGAGAGGTAATACAAGCCATAATCCAATTGGTTAGAAAAATCAATAATTTGAAAAAAAAAAAAACTAAATGACCACCCAAGATAGATGATAATATACTTTTTCTGAGTCAAGCTAGATCAAAATAAAAGGGTTTTTGCTCTTAAAATTATATATAAAAATGGATGCTACACTTAGATAAGAAGAGAGATTAATGAGTCAAGAAAAGGCTTTATACGATTAGCAACTTGGTAAGGATCCAATAATTCATGTGGCATAGATTGTTGTATCTTGGGATAAAAATAATATAGGTCTTAGTTCAACACGAACATAGAGATAGTATGATAAATCCGTCGGAAAACCCTAGTCATAGGATTACTAAGGGTATCCCAATAAGTTTTGTAGAATTTAATTATAAAACTATTAGGGCTAGAGTTTTTACCAAATCAAGGGAGGAGAGGGTAAAGAAAATCTCATTGACTTGGTAAGTAGGTTTGCCTCAATGGTACCAAGGCCCCAACCTTCTATTCTAGGCCAATTAGGAGGGATAGAAGAGGAAATATAATTGTCATTCCATAGCGAGTAGTAGAAAGAAACAAACAAACTCTCTCATTATAAAATTTTGGTAAGGATAAATGATTGATCAAATTAGTATTGTGGAGTATAGACACAAGAGTATGGTAATACCTTGTCTTGGCATTCCCTTGACCAATCCATTTGGTACTTAAGATTAATCTGACGGGTGAAGCAGTCAACTGTTTTTTCCAAGCAGGTTAGATTAGTTAGTTCAAGGTGTGAGAGGCCATTGGAGCAATCCTTGGCCTCAAGCTTAACAATTTGTTGTCGAGTGAAGCCATGGAGGTTCTCTAGTCTATCTACTAAGGCAAGACTTATTCCAATGTGATAGAACCCCTATAAGTTTATAAAGATTAGATGAGAGACCATAAAGAGAGTTATTGCACCACTGACTACCATCCCAATTGACGTAAGGATATTTCATTCAAAGATTCTGAAATAAAAAAAAATTAACTGCTATTCAAGTTAGAATCAAAGGGCTATGATCGGAAACCGGAAGCAATGCATGATAGAAGAATTATCAAATAAGTCGAGCCAATGACTGAATCTAAGTGAACCTAAATATGGATAGCACCACTTCTATTCTTACATCATGTAAAACGAGTATATGAAAAATTAAGATAATTTAAACATATCAATTTAATAAAATTCCAAAACTACACAACCGAACTAGAAAAACAAAAATCGATGACCACCTTTTTAATCACATGCATTAAGAGAACAAATTAGAATCACCCATCACAAGCCATGAAAACCACGAAGGCTCTTCTAAAGTTGATTCCAAACAGACGAGAAAGTAGTCGCATAAATAACAGTAAGCACTCGTAGTTTACCCCTACAAGATTGCACCATAGCATGCATAAGCTGAGAATTATAGGATATCACTAGAACGATGGAGCCTATTTGCATTCCAGACAAGAAGAATCCCTCCGGAGGCACCGACAACATCAACAGTTTGCTTGGACCACCGCTGACCGAATACCCATGCATATTCCTCTGCCCGCAGCTTGGGGAAGTGTGGTTCCTGTAAGACAATCAAATCTAATTGGTTGGATCTAATACAATTGGTAAGAACTTCTTGGATAGGTCTCTCTTACGAAGACCGCTAAAATTCTGATTTAGAATTTTCATAAGAGAAGAAATTAACTAATAGAACAACTCTCATATAGGAAGGGTTGATCCGAAGGCACAGTAGGTACTTCCATCAGATCTGGCCTTCCTGGGTTTAAGAATCACACCCACTTCCTTAGCCTTCCTGGGTACATGCAACAGTGCTAGTAAATGGCAAATCCTTGAGCAAGATCATAGTCTAGTTTGTGTTGGACATCAACGACCTCCTTAGTTGTAGCATCTGCCATAGCATCAATGGTAGCTGTATTCTCAATCACTTAGTTTTTAAAACCATCTGCGAGAAAGAAAAGGTATTTGGGAAGCAAGGAGGTCTCAAGTGGAATGGGCAGGGGATGCTAAAGGACTAGAATTAGAAGTAAGGCCAACAACCCCATTTGTGTTATCATAAACTAATAATGAATGGTCGGAAGGTGGTGGGTTAGGCTATGCCATCGGGCCATCACAACATTGCATGTGGTTGCCTCAAGACATCCACCCCCTCGTTGGCAGATGAAGGATCACCAGGGTCAAATTAACGCTAAGATATGAGAAATCTTCACCCCTTGCCTCGTATCATTGTTGGA